GTAAATCAAAAACTTTTCCAGTGCTTTAGAAGAAAATGCAAGTGGATAGATGAGTAAAGGCTTGACTCCTTAAACTTATAAAACTGATTAAGCTCAGCTAATTAAGGCCATAAGACTAATTAAGCTCATAAAAAACTTGAAAACTTTCAGTATTCTCAGCAGTAAAAATATTCTTCTTAAAAATATTTTTAATTTTCTTGAGAGAGGAAAGTTTCTTGTTTTATTCAGTTTTCACTTGCTTGATCTTAGAATTTGAAAAAATTCTTAATTATTTCCCACCACTTCATAATATTTTAAATTATAATAACAACTTTTTTTTTACAAGCAAAAATTTTAGGCATAATTTTTGTGAAATTTGAAAATTATATTAGTTTATATCAGAAAATTGAAAGAGTTTGATTTAAAATTTTTTTTTGCATATTGGTATTTTCATCAAAAATTTCAACTTTTTTGATTTGTTTCATTTGGTTTTCAAAAATTTTTGGTTAATCTCTTGACAATAATTTTAAAAGTTTTAAATATGAATGCACTTCATTGGTAAAGCATAAATTTTTATCAATTTTCATTGCAGTGTGAATATTTAATTGAAATATGATATTTTATTTTAGTGAAAATTATAATTATTGACTGATGCTAATTCATGTTTAATAACGGAGCAATCAATTTGATCAATTTTGTTTTGATTTTTCTGATTGATCAATCTTTGATTAGTAACGTATTGTATACAATTTCAACGATTACAAAAGCAGAAAAACAAGAATTTATCTCAGTAAAAACTAGCCTTTAAGCCGAGATCTCCTTGCGTACCAGTTGTTTTGTGTAAAATCATATGGCCGATCAAACGACGCTGATCAGCGGATGGTTGCCACGTGACAGGATACTACAAATGTACTACATCAAAATCAAACTCACAAATATTAATTGATTAATTAATTTAAAAAACTATCATTCTTAAGATGTAATTGTTTCAGTATGAAGACTTGAAAGATATTTACAATTCAAATGCTCATTTTACGTGTAAACTTACGGAAAGATATGTTCGTATTTTTGCTGCTAGCATATCACCTGGCAGTATAGTTGATTTTAGCATAGGTACGTTAGATACATCGCTACCACGTTGAAATTTTCGATTAGAATCAGACGAAGCTAAACCAATAAAAGTCATGACAGAATAATATTAATATAATTATGGTAACATTAACATATTTGATGATCATACTATCGAGTATTAGTTAACTATCAAATTTTTGATACAGATTTATTATTAACTAAAAATTTAAAAGCCATCAGTAATCACTAACTATAAACTTTACGTCATATTAAAATTTTAGCGTTATTAAATTTATGTATTTAATCCTTCAAACTACAACTTTGTGCAAATTTCAGACTTATTTTTGGCATCCTAAATTAGCATTTGTATCATTTCTAAAATGGTTGAAAAATATGCCAGAATTAAATAATCTGTGCTATTTTATTATTTTTAAAAGATTATTTTGAATGCGAAGTTTGTTCATATAAAGAATTATTCTACTGGTTACTAATATTAATATCCTGTTATTAAGCTATCATTAAAAAATTCTAGATCAAAAAAAAGAATAAGCTTTTGCTTAATTTAACCTTAGCAAAATGTCAAAGGTTATTAAGATAGAAAAATGCCAATATCATATAAAAGGTTTGAAACCTTTTATACGATATTAGCACTCAATTAGAGATTTTGCATACGATTGAAAACATTGATAATTAAAAATCTCAAGATGATTATAATCTGAGAAATTTATGAATAATTGATGGTAAATTAATTAATGTACCAAAGTTATCCAACTCATTACATTTATTAAATAACACAAAATCATTAAAAATTTGCAAGCAGAAAAATTATTCATTAAAAAACAAAAACTTATTTTATCCAAAATTTTTCTTCATTTTTGTTATAAATTTCTATTGCAACAAAAAAGGAAATGCAAAAATATGGAATTTTTTGAGGATATATGCAAATTTTTATGTTTCTGAATACAGTAAACCCTTGTTGGACGAAAAATATGTTTTAAATTCTTTCAATGGAATCACTTTGGTTCATCATTCAGTTACAATTCTTGTATCTTTCATAAATTTAAATACAAATTAGTAATTGCTCTCAGGATTAATAATTCATAACTTGATCACTTTTTCGCTCTTGAAACTGAAAATTAAAAATTTCAGTCAAAATCTTTGAATATTACAGCATTAATTTCTTTTCCATTATTAATGTTGAATTTTAAGTATTTGATTGAGTACTGTTGTTTTCTTCTGTATTTTTTAGAATTCAAAACATTTTAAAAACCATAAAAAACTCAAAAAACATCATATTTCTTATTGAAACCTTAGAATAATAAAGCATGTACAACAGATTACTTATTTTATGCAAATTTTATACAAATTTAGATGCGCTTGATGGACTGAAAACTAACATTTTCGTCCGCTACGAAGTTTTTGTGAACCATAAATGTATCTTAAAATATCTGAAATACCAGGAAATGAGATACTCATAATTATCACTGAATATTTAAATTATCACTACTACAAGATCAAGAGTTCGCTAGTACTTCGAGCAGCAATATGGCATCAGAATCATTAATTTTTTATGAAAATACTGTAAAAAATTACAGTACTTTGCTGGAAAAATGATAATTTTCAGAAAAAATTCAAAAAGTTTATGATTACTGATATGCATATATAACGAATTATTGATAAATGACAATAGATATTTTTATATTTTTAAGATGGTAAATTTTTTTACACTTTTAATAAATTTAAGAACAACAAAAATTTTAATTTATATGCAAAATAAGACAAACCCATCAAAAATACACTTGACTGATAAATTCTCTGGCATAATTTTTTATTAATTTACTGTTATTAAATATTTAATTAGTTACCGATTACTGTAAACATATTTTATTGCAAATAATTTAATTGCTCTAACAACTTTTTCAGGATAAGTTTTAGGCACTTATAAAAACTTCGCATGTGCCAAATAATTAGCATGTAATATCGAAAAATTGCAACTTTTTCAAAAGTTTGTTTACAATTTTGAGTGAAAAATTTGAATATTTATATTCCAATAATCAATTATTTTCAAAAGTTTATCGAGAAATGAATAAAGATATTAAGTAAGCAAAAAAAGAATCAGTAAATCAATTAAAATTAAACTTAGCATATTCAAATACAAGTAAAACCTTTTTCAGAACTGATTTCAGTATCAGCTCGTGACATCGCTTCTCCGTCATTACCATTTGACGTTGATGGTAGTTCATCTTCAGATGAAGACATCGGATGAAGTTGTCTATAATTTATTATTAGAAATTTTAATTTAACAGAGCAAAAACTGTAGTGAACTAAAAATGTTAATTACGATGTTTGGATGATTATTAAAATTGTCAATTATTAAAGCAAATATTTGAATGAGATTAACTATATATTTATAGTGGAAAAATTCATTTTTAGAAAGTTACAGTAATTTTTTAGAATTTTTTCTCTTAGTCAAATATATAAAGAGAATAAAATCATTTTTAATACTGTGTATTAATTATAATAGACAAAATGAGATCAAAGGTTAATATATACATTGTTTTAAATTTTTTAATGCACAATTTGGAATGTTTATTAGCATACCAAAACTCCCATAAAACTTCTATAAAGAATAAATAATCAGAAAAGAATGAAACAAGACGAGATTTGCTAGGGAACTTTGATTACTTATGAATTCATATAAATTTAGTTATTACAAATATTACAAGGATCGCTATTGCCATATCCATCAATTACTATTTTTATCCCAATTACTGTCATCAGTATTCTTACTGTACAATAATACTGCATGTAGTAAATACTACTTCATTAAGTTTCTAGTTATACCTATAATTTATTTTTCTATTTACTTTTTTCGTGTGATGAAAGGAAACCAACCTGGAAAGCCTTGTTTTTCGCCTTCCTGAATGTAAGCTTGCAAAGGTAGCACTGGTAGTTGCAGGTGGCACCGGGTTCACAGGTTCCTAAAATATTTTTGTATACTAAAAAACAAATGCTGTATTTGTTTGCCACAAATCTATTGCTCTTTACAATTTACTAGGCTAGCACTACAGTAGTATACACTAAGAGCAGGTGTATTTTTGTACTTCGAAGTGAAACTCTGTATTTCAATACTGAACATATATTTTGAAAAAAAGTATACTATAAATCTTTTCAAATACTGTGCATTTTAAGACTTCAAAATTGGCAGAGCTGACATACTTCAAAAGAAGCTGATGAAATGACACGCTTTGAATCGTTTTCACGTGTAGCACGTGAAAACGATCGTCGTGATTCTTCGTTAGCACTGTGAGAAGCTGACTGTATCACAGTAGTTGTTGATGGTACGGTTCTTTAATACACAAAGAATATTCCGAAAATTTTACACTTCTAAATCAGCTTACAAAAAAACATTATATATGTCCTTTTATAAATATAATAATTACATTTTTGCTTTAAAGATATAACTTATAAACTTGCAGTTTCTTGTAAGAACATAAGAAGGTGGAAAAATTCGAAAGAAAACAAATGTTATCAGAAAGGCTATCTTAAATTTTTGAGCTAATTAAAAACTGACATTTGACCTTTTCTTTAAAAATATAACCTTATGATAAACTGTTGTCAGAACGGTTACAAAATGTTCGCCTCCTACATCCCTTTCAACTCTTTGATTTTATGAGTAGAAAGATATTCTAATCATCTAACTGATCACTGATAGCAATCATTTTTTGTATTTCTTGCCGAACATTTCTCAGAATCAGTTCATAAGCATAATTTTATCTTGGTGACTTTCAGAAATCTCAGATTGCTGAATCCTACTCAATGCAACCTTACGATATCTGTCTCAGCCTTATATAGTAATAATAATATGAATATGAATATGAATAATGATGATATGAATACTGCTTTTTTAAAATATTTTACAGCCAACACAAAATTACATGCTTTACTATAAATTACCTTTTCAGGCATTTAGCTGAAAAATAACTGTGCTGAGCTAAAACTGTAAAACTTGGATTAATCTTAAAATGCATGCCAAAAGAAATGTTCAAAAGAAATGCTATCAGCAGCGAAGACATCTATGCGCATTTGAAATTAGACTACACTTTTTTCGTATAAATCTAACTTAAAACTTAATAAGATATTCTAATCAGTTGACTAATCACTGATAGTAATTTGATCAATTCACTTAGCTCAAATTTGAGTTCTTTTTTGAGTGATGCAAAATTTTAACTTTACTTAACTGTCAACTTGTAAATTTGGGATTTTGCTGAGGTTTGAATCAATTTTTGACTTCTCCGCTAATCTTAACCAACTTGCTAGACGAGAAATTCTAAAAAATACAAATCCTTTCCTTCTAAAAACCATAAATCTAAGCCGAGGAATAAATAAATGAATAAATAAATCCGCAAATGATTGAATTCATACACTCCAGAAATACAAGTTGATCTCTCCGAGATTATCAAAATATCTTAAGAATACAATTATGTGACGAAGTTTTGAGCACTGAATAAATTCAATCTCAGAAAATAGCACTAAAAATAATATCAGTAATTGTTTACTTAATTCATCTATCTGAATTTTTAATCTGAATTTAACTAATCACTGTAATCGTTATCTCATTTTTTATTCTGACCTATGCATTCCTTCAGTTAAAAATAAAAATAGTAGAGCGAAAATTTTTCACTAAATTTGTTAAAAAGTAGAATAAATAATCTACGTAGTCGAAATAGTTTTTCCATGTAATTGTTATGAAAACTATGCAAGAATTTAAAATACGAGAATTTTTTTTCAAATGATGTGAAATTATTATTTTAATAAGATCAGGTTAATTAATATATTTAATTTAAAACCGTATTCGTCTCTTATTTTACCGACGTGGAATGATAGAAGTTTTTGAAGTGAAAAACGGGTCACATCTTACGAGAATTTTCACGTTGCACAAAACTTAATTCACGACTGATAATTTCTAATCCTTGTCATAAATTATAATAAATATTTCACTATGAAAAATGATAAGAATTATTAATCAAATAGTCAACAAATTTTAGAATAACAAGTTCTTTTCTGTTTCACATATCATTCTATCAAATCAGTTATCATATGTCTATGTTATAATTTCAGTAAAACAATTTACTGAGCCGAACAAACTGCGCCGTATTAAAATTTAGTTTAGATATGTGTCATCACAAGAAATGAATGAATTTGACAAAGTTGCTTCTCTGACATGAATTAACAATGCTATTCAACCTTGAAGTTCCTTACTTTCACCTCTGAACTTTCAAAATTATTTTACAACCTTCAAAACTCCTCTAGCAAAGCAGTAAATTACTGATAAATTAAGAATTGGTCAATAATTTAAAAGTTAATCAAATTAACAGTAAACGTAATCGATGTATTCCTAATTTGCGTATAAAAAAGTAAATTATCATGATTTTAATGCATAGTTAAGTGAAGCAATTGTGATCTGTAGATAATTGATCAGTACACTTTAACGTTAATTAAAATTTCTTAATTTTTATTAAAATTTATTCCTTGTCAAGAAAGAAGACAACTGCAAATGAGCAGTAGAAAAAGGCAAACCTCCTTGGAATGTCCAAGTTGCAAGGAGCTGAAAGTAGCTGCTTATCAGAGCTGATATTACTCGTACTTGCTGCTTCTCTGAGATCAATAATAATTATAATTAATTGCATAATGACATTTGAATGCGATTATGGAAGGGAGAAAGTTTAGTCTGAACTATTTAATTCACTCTTAGCAAAGATTTTAATCAAGACAATTTACGGGTGGATGATGGATAACCAAAGTATCACAGTGGCATTGCATAAAAGTAAGTAAGTTTTGCAACAAAACTTTCCTACTTTTTACTTCAAAAGTATTCTTAAGTTATAATTTATACTTTTTAATTAACACTAATATCATTTTCTTCATTATTTATTCCATATATAATAATTATTATTTTGATTAACTTTGTGATTCAAAAATTTCAATTATTTAATATTAATATTATATAATCGATAATAAATATTAATATTATATAAACGGTAGTCATTATTGTGTTAATAGTATTTCAATAAAAGTTAAATTTATCTCAATAATACATTGAATTTTGATAACTAAAAAATATTTAATTTATTAATAATCAACAAATTTGAATTTTGGTAACAAAATTTATTAATAATTTAAATATTTTTTGCTACCAAAATTCAATGTGATACAATGTAAAATTTGCTTCAATAACATTTACTGTTATAAAGTTTTGTATTCAAATTTGTTGATGTGTGAAATTGAGGCATTGTGTGTTTTTTATCTAAAATTGCAAGCATTTCTTATTTTTGCAGCAATTTAAAAGGGAAAAAATAATTATAAAATGTAATATAAGCTGAAATGTTCGATACTTTTGAATAAAAAAGTTTATAATAGCAAAAAATATCAAACATTTCTAAGACAAACTTTTCAATACATTGCATGCCTTCTTGTACTTCTCTTGCATTTGCTTTATGATTCTGTATTTCAGACTGCATTTGATATCTGTAAAATATTACAGTAATTTAATAGAATAATCTTTATTTCGAGTAATGATTGAATAATTTGAAATTAATACTCACTTACTGATTACTTTTATTCAGCTTCTTGAGCAGTAAAAGTTGAAAGGTTAGTATCAAATTAAAAACTTAACCTTTTAATAATTTTTATCATTTTGATTTACTAAAGAATAATATTAATGAGTTTTGCAAAATGTAAGTTTTTTATGCACAATTTTTTAAAATCAAATTAATCAAGTTAAAATAAAAGCTTTGTGATTATTTTAATCCTCATGGAATCAAAATATTGGAAAGGAAATAAATTTGCAAATGTATTTGCAAAAATATAAACTTTGAATAGAAATTACTATTATATTTATAAACACGTATATTTTATTATTATTATTATTATCCATATTTTATTATTATTATAAATTGCAGTTTATACTTACTTAAAATCTCAAAAAACAAATTAAAGGTTTTATGCAATTCTGAAGTTGTAAGGAAAAAATTTTTGAATGAATTTTTCATTCGTTTTTGAAAAACTTCTGACAACCAAATAATTATCATTTAAAAATAAAACCTAATATTTGGATGCAGTGACGTGTCACTTGGTCGTTCATTATGGTGTGTACTTGCGCTACTTGAGCATCTGAAATTCGTAACAGCTAAATGCGTGACAATGATTGCGTGAAATTCAATAAAATTTTTATTCTCAAAGGATGAAATTAAAATAATTACTATTATATATTAGTTCAGTATGCAGTGTTTTAAAATGAAAAACATGCTTTGTTGACGTGATACAATTATTAATCTTAAACTTTTAAATATGCGCTTTCACTTTGTGCTGACGTGCTACTGATGTGAAAAAATTCTCAAGTTTAATCGCTATGCTAAATACCTGTCTAGTTGTTTACGTGACTTTTCAGGAGTTTGCACGTCAATTTCCACATAATCGTGATCACTTATTGATCTATTGTGCGACAATTTTTCGCTGTTCCGTGGTACTGGCTTCACCTGTTTCTGGAATTTATACTCCGAAAACTGTTCACTCTTTACGTCATCATTACCAGAAGAAGATCTATCTCTTGACCACTGATCACTAACATGGTGCTTCGGACTACCGTTTACATGACCTGTTTGATTGCTCTCTTGACGTTCCGTCTAAAAAACTACAACTTCATTTTGTCACATTTTTGACCATACTTTTGTTTTTCGGTTGCGTTAGTTTATCAAACTTCATTAAATATTTTAGTTATTTTCAGTAAAAGTAAAAAAAAATCTACTTATAAGGTAAGTAAAAAAATCAATTATTCTTGATCGATTAATAAAATCACTTCAAGAGATGGTTGACGTAAAAGAGTGTTTTGACGCTTGACACTCGGTGTTATCTGCTTACGTACTGTTGGCACTGGTACGGTATCAGAAACTATAGATACTGTTGGTATTTGCGTATTAGCAGTATTCGGATTCATGCCATTACTTCTAACTGCAATGTTTGTCAGGCTACTTTTGCGATTACTTATTTGCTGAGGTGTTCGGGATGTTGAATACATCGGACTGAAAATTTACTAACCAATTTTATGAATTAAAATTAAAATGTAAATCAAATACTTTTAATTGAATACTACAAATACTTTTAATATTTCAAGAAACTATTCAAATTTGTATGCCATTAATTAGAGGATCTAAATCTGATAAAAATTTTAAAAATACACAAAAGTACAGCAAATATTTTGCATTCCATAAATACTATACAATACTTGCAGAGTTAGACTATATTCTCTATTATTAATGCAAACAAATGAAAATAATTAATAATAAAAACAAATAAATCATAGATTTCAAAAAAAAAGATTGCTATGCCATCAGAGCAAAGTGAATTGCTAAAAGATATCCAAATCCGCTAATATAATAAGATATTGAATATTATTCATCGCATACTGCTATTAACTGACCAACCAGACTAATTAATTATTATAAAATTATATTTAATTTTGAAATTAATACTTGTCAGAGAATTATATATTATACAGTTTTCAAAATTATTCCATTTGGCATGAGTTAATTTTATAGCTGTTAAAATGTGGGGTCACAGGTTACGTAATATTTTGTTTTACTTTTATTGGATCTAAGGGCAAAGGTCTTCTTCTTCTGCGATAAGTTTTCCAATGTTTATCACAGAATATCATTATAAAATACATTACTGTACAACTGCTCGTCGATCAACTATTTTCCATGTGAGCCATAATTAACAAGCTTTTGTTTGCTATTAACAGAATTTGACCTTTTTATTATTAGTCAACGATATGATAATGCTTAAATAAGCTCAACTGGTGATGTCATGCCTAGTAGCTTAATGTATAGCCGCAGTGTAAGTAGAAGAAATAAGTTATCCACATTGCTGTCTTCAAGCTTACATTACGCCATTTAACATTTTTTACGTGATTTACTTTTGCCAAGAACTTAACTGCTTAAAAGCATGGCAAAAATATGTGCAAAATAAACGCAGTAACTTTAATTGAGTTAAATTAAGTTTTTAAACTTAAATTGGTTGGATTTTAATGTTGGTAACTTCTAAAATTCGTACCATCAAATTACCTTTATAACGCAAATTTATTTTGAGTCTTTTGAAGTATTAATTTTCAATTTTTAAAATCAAATAATGATTCTTATTGGTGTTTATCGCTTATCATTATTATTTTATCTATGTTATCAGTGGAAGTCTTATCATTATCAGGATCGATGGGAAATAATCGAGAGGATATACCTGAGATCCGCCGGACTGGTCGCTGCTTTGCTTTCCTCTACTAAAGCAGATTGTTGGAACCATTTGCCTGTTTTGGCCAGAATTTGTTGTCTTTTTTGGCACAATGAACAAGCCCAAATTGGCTTCAAATAAAAAAATCGTGAAAATTAAAATTATCACAAATATTTTATTTTGTTTCCATAAAAAGAAAACATAGCATTATACATTCGAATTATTTGACCAAAATTTACATAATTCATATCAGTTTGATAAGTTTGACCAAGAATAATTTCAGTAACTTCACTGCATAGTTATACTTACGTCTTTAGTGCGGAAAATAAATATCCGTTATTAAATTATTCTATGATTAATTTATCACTAATTTAAGTGCAACATATTGTCCTTACATGTACTGATCACTAACAGACAATGGTTTTCTGAAAATTACCAACGTTTAAATTCAAAAAAGCTGTAGTATTGTGCCTACTAGGATACAAAAATCAAGATAATGTGTAAGATAATGAGAGTTACTGACTTGACTGATTTTCAAATTATAATCATTTTGATCTCGGAATTGAATTAGTTCAAACTAAAAGCAATCAAGCCATTAAAATTTTATACAGGGTGTCCATTGTGGTAATAAAAAAGTCTGTAGCTAATGTAATCTACAGATGTATGATAAATATAACGATCTAAACTTAATCTGATTACTTACTATGATTTTCAAATTTGTTGCTTGCTCAATCATAAGGCAAAGTGCCATGATACTACAGTAATACTGATTAAAAACGCTAACGTTGTTGTCTAAATTCAATTCACTGCAGATAAAGATGAAAAAAAGAAAAAATTATAAATACTTAATTTTACTGTAGCAATTCAGTTCAAGTACAGTTATCAGTATTAAACTGATTGTTTTCTCTTTTATTTTGAAGTAATCAAAAGTGAATAAAACGTCATGCAGTTATGCTTCCTGACCTTGTTTCTACTCATTGTTCGACCTCCACATCGCGCGCATGACCTCAGTTGACAGTAAAAACATTTATGACCAATTCCATCGGCGAATTTTGTCTTTTGACAAATTTGGCAAATGGCATCGTCTTGTGTTCCGATTAGCCGTTGCGCTATTTCCTTTCGTTCATTAATTTGCTTATCAATTGCTTCTAATTCCTGATCAGCTTTCCTGTGGAGAGTATGCAAATTCTGTTGGTAGAAATAATTAAATTGAAGTTGTTGTTTTTTTAAATTTAAGTTTGTATTTCAGTCTTATTTTTCAAAATTACTGAAATTTTTGCGATCAAAAATGAATAAATCTTAAATACTTTTGATTATGTACTCAGTTTAAGTAATTAATTATTGAAGTTAATGTTTACTGATTACTTTTTTATTTGTTATAAATGTAAAACTTGCTGGCTAATTTGCGTTTCTTTTTCTTCCTCAGCACGTTGTCGTTGAAATACTTCCTCAATGATTTGACGCTCCTCCGCGCTAAGATGTGACAAGTCTGGCATTGGAGGTTCAGCCATCGACCTCTAACCTTCAGTAGACCTCAGAAGCCTGCTGAAAAAGCAAAACAAATCTTATGCTCTGTGATGTGTAAATGATTAGACAAGACGTACATGAAAATTATATATACAATATTGTAGAATACAAATTAACATAGAATCAATACTTCTAAAAACGTTACTGATAACTTTTTTTCATATTCTAAATATTAAGTGCCAAAAGTTTTTTAATTAATGAATATCCAATAATATAGTAAAAGCTGGAATCAAAGTCGAACAAATGTAATATTCATAATGAAATGTAAAATTAAGCAGCTTATCAATCTATTTGCATTGTCAGTTAGCATTTGCCATCAAATTGTATAACTTAAATACTAAATTCAAAAAGATTTGAATAATTTTTGCATAAATCTTTTATTGCATAAAAAACAGCAAAAATAGTTTTCAAAGAATAGTAAAAAATAGTTTCAAGTTCAGTATATAGTTGGAAAATATATCGATTCCTGTCTTTGCTAATCCATACCTAACTAATTCATTGGTGGAAGAAAGATTAAAAAAGAGCCTAGCATTGGGTGGATGAGCCAAAGAAGGAAGAATATTGGCCAAGCAGCTGCCTTGAGATTTCCAAGCCAAGCTGTTTGCCATATGAATCGAATATTAGGAACGAAATTGACTTTGTTTATTTTTTGAAAAATATAAAGAAATAGCATATAAACGCAAATAAGCCAAATTAAGCTATTGAAATCACAATTATTAAGCCAATTCACAATAAAATAATCATTTTCAAATCGCTTTTATCACTGAAAAAAGTGAAGATTGCACAAGTTCATAAGTATATATATAATCATTTATTCGTTCATCTAAATTAAATAATTAATATCTGAATTGAATAAATTAAAAATTAAATTAAATCAATTATTGGTGTCATAATTTTAATTTTAAGAAGTCAGCAACGGATACAACACATATGATCACAATTATCAAAAGACAAGTTTTGATAAGATATCAACACATTTATTTCAGTAACAATTTATGGCATGGATTCTTTGAGTGCAGGTGAAAAATTGCTGATAATATTAATAATTAAGTAATTTTCAGATGATCTTGAAAGTATTATTAACGATTTTAATCATAATTAATGTAAATGATACATTATCAAGAAGTTTTAATCACAAAAAATATTTAAGCGATTCGGAAAATGTCAATAATATACATAAAATTTAGTTTAAATCACTTTTATAATAAAAATAGTGAAAGTTCGATCTTTTAAATAATCAAGCCTAAACACAACGATATTGAAGTATTTAAAATAACAAATACAAATATTATTATACTTTAATTTCTATAATTCTGTTTAAAAAACGCATATTCAACAATTTTAAAGTTATTAAAATATGTGAAAAGTAACTGTAAAATAAGATAATAATGCTAAATCCAGATTAAAATCATATACTAAGATTAAAATCATGTTAATTCATTATAGCTTTGAATAACTATGTATAAGCTGTACAGAACTGGGTTAGCGTTTAGAACTGTGAAATATGAAGCAAAAATGAAATTAACGCTGGAAAGTATAAGTAAATCGATAATTTACTTATCTCTGCACGGAAAAAACAAATTGATTATTATGCAGTTTATCAATTAGTCTAGGAGTCTATCAATTAGGATGGTTATTTTTGACATAGTGCTAAGCTCTATGTTTGTTTAATAATTCAGAAAACAATATATTTCCTGTATATCTTTTTAGTAGAATCTGAATCAAAATTTGTAATTAGTAAATTTGCTTATGTTTGGAAATACCAAGCAAGCACATTATGAAAACTAGCTGTTATCCTCAGACATTTTGCTTGCAATTAATTTTGCAAATAAGTCGAAAAAGACTGCAAATAAAAATTTAAAAATGTGAAAATAATATAATTTGTGAAATTTATTTATTTATTTTTTATATCTCTTTTTATTATTTATTTTTTTTAATTTTTTTCTTTTTATATTTAATTAATTAATTAATTTATCTATTAATGCAGTTTAATAAAAAATATATGCTGCAAATAAAAATTGAGAAAATATATTATAAAAAGGATAGTATTAGCGTACAATATCGTGAGTTATCACTGAAAAAAATTTTGAGTGATATGGAAATTATCACAAATGACAATAAGTTAAAATATGAAATGATGTCAAAAAATGCGCTTAACTCACATTCATAACAGCAATAACAAAAGTGATACTGATGTTAATGATAATGATAATGATAATGATGATGATAATGATAATGTTAATGATAATGTTAATGTTAACTGTTGATGATGGCAATGATTGGCACAATTATACTAAAGCTGAAAAAGTTATTTTAGTGCAAAGTGATAATATTGATGGAAATGATCATTAGTGATGAGACAGATTTTTAAAAAAAACTTATGCAATGATACGTAATTATTATATTTAAAAGAGATGCAAAAATTCAGTAGCAGTAATTGTAGAAATAATAAAATTACAATACGAATTGATAAGAACAAAAATCATCATAAATAAGAATAGTGATAATAGCAATAATGATAAGTACTGACAATAATGATAATTCTAAGTGATAAAAAAATATGATAACAGTGATCAATAAAGAA